AGGCAGGGGGCTGAAGCAGCTCACCTCTGCACTCTGTGAGGGCCGGAATTGACATTCATCTCTTCTGCCACTGGAGTTTTGGGACCGAATGAGTGCACTGTCACAACTGACCAAGAACTCCAACTTGTGTTTTGAAGGAATTCTAGTGCTGAGAATAGATGAAGGCACCTGCAGAGTATGGAAGTTTTACCTGTACATGTAGAATTTTGTGTGTGTGTGTGTGGTGTGTGTGTGGTGTGTGTGTGTGTGTGTGTGTGTGTGTGTGTGTGTGTGTGTGTGTGTGTGTGCCCAAACACTCTTGGAGAGTCAAGCGCTTGCCTAGCATGCACAAAGCCTTGGATTTGATACCCCTCATGACCTATGCTTGCTACTCGGTACCTGCAGCCTCAGCACTGGGAGGTAGAGGCAGGAGAGTCAAGTTGGAGGCCAAGAGGAGGAAAGAGCTGGTTTCAGAAACAGAGTGGAATAGAGAGCACCTGCCAGACATCCAGGGTGCCAATGAGGCCGAGCGTCAGAGAAGTTCTGAGCAAGTGTCGTTTTTGACACTGTCTAGTGTTGAAATGTGTAGCATCAAACCCGGAGGATCCCACCACTTCAGATGGAGGAGGTTGGGGCTGGAGACATGGTTCAGCAGTTAAGAGCACTAGCTGCTGTTCAGAGGACCTGAGTTCAGTTCCCAGCAACCACACAGTGGTTCACAACCATCCATAACAAAATCTGGTGGCCTGTTCTGGGGTGCAGGCAGAACACTGTATACAGATGTTCCTGAGGATCTGGAGTGTAAGATGAAAAGGACCAAGGAAAAACACTCTGATCCTGACTGCACCCCAGGACCAGGGCTTGCCTCTGAGTCAGGCTGTAGAATTCCATCAGTCCCTAAGTTCCTGAGCATGAAATCCCACCAAACCCCGAGCCCAGAGTCAGGGCATAAAAATCCACAAATCTCAAGCCACTCTGGAAAATCCTGTGCCCCCCATCCCCAAAGAAACCCCATATAAGCTTTGTACTCTGTTCAGTTTATGTTTGCTTCTTACCCTAGAGGTAGTCACCCTCCTGGATCCTTCCTTCCCAATAAATCTCTTGAATGAGGTTTGCTGTGAGGTGTGACACTTTCGCCAAGCAGAGCCTGGCTGTAACAATTTTCACCAGAGCCTGAGCAGAGCAGAACTGTAGCAGCTTTCCTGGGAAACCTTCCCCTTCGGGACCAGAGGTACTACTACTTGCACTGGGGAAACCTTTCCCTGATACTCAATGCTTACATGCAGGAGCTGGAGAGGAGGAGGAAGGGGAAGGGGAGGGAGGTGAGACATAGGCTGCAGGCCAATCTGAGTTGAGGAGGCTCAACCAGTTATGTGGCCATAATTGCTTAGGGAGAAAACAGAGTTCTATGGGCCTGGGACAGACAAAGGGAAAAGGCTTGAAATGTCCAGAATGGGATACCATGTTCCTGTTAATTTCCTTCCAGATTCATAAGGAGAAACTGGAGCACATGTAGGAATTTGAGGCTGGGCCAAAGGCAACAGGGAGAGGCAGGCACTGTGGCTTTGCTTATCTGGCAGAGGTGAGCCCCTTTCATCCAGCCACCAACGCTGGAGTCAGCCACAGCACTCGCTGGCCTCCTGTATGCAGCACCTGCTAACTTCCCTTAGAGACCAGCTGGGGCTAGGTGCAGTTGGCGATGGAAGAGAGGTTGCTGAAGCCTGGGATAAGTGAGCTAGAAAGCATTTAACAAGTGCCCCCTGTACAGTGTTGAGAATCCAGGCAAACACACTTCACTGCCAGCCGCCATGCTCTGCCTCTGCAGTTGAATAGAGAGGAGGTTAAGCTGGCAAATAGATTGGACAGATCTTGTGTCTCCTGGGGACCAGTCTGTCCTCTGACTTAGGCTGGCCAGCCGGTGTGCGTGCACCTGTGTTTACATGCATTGCCTGCAGATGGATGGATTTCTCTAACCGCCCCCTACAGTTGACAGAAGTCAGTGCTGCAGTCCCACTGAACCATTGAGCTTGCCCGTGGGCTCCTTGCTATGGCGGTTGTGGGACCTGCTCAGTTCCATTTCAGAACCACGTCATCACGTTCCTTCTGAGGGCGGTTAATGGGGGAGGCGGTGCCAGGGGCCGGGAAGGCCCACCATCAGCACCATGAAAAAGATCCTGGGCTTCTTGGAGTCAAAGACAGTTGTCCTCGCCATCCTCTTCCATCCTGAGCTGGCTGGCCCTTCCTGGGTCCTGGATGTCAGTGTGATAGTGTTGGTACCTTCCACTCTCCTAGACGCCTCAAAGGCTATAAAGCTTTTGGGGAGTGCCACAAGGCTGCAAGCCTGGGTGACATTGCCAAGGTAGAGCACAGGCTCATCCTTGGTAGTAATAACAAGAATGATCAAGACAGGAAAAACAGGTCACTGGAACTGGCAGGAAGGACGGGGGCGGCCTGGGGAGGCAAACTGCTGGCTATCTGGACAAGGGACTAGAGAGGAGAGAGAGGAAGAGCTCTAAGGTGGTAGGCGGGAAGGTAGGACAGCCCTTGGCATCCTCCCCTGGAGTTCAGGTTGTCCTTTGTATACCCCAAACCCCTGGAACACACCATCTGACTCCAGTTCCAGCCTCCTGGTAGCTAGGATGGCAAGCCCACTACGCCCATCTGGCTCTGTCTGAACAGTGTTTGGCACATTCCAGGGGGTGGGCATCCCATCTCTCGACATTTTTTTTTTCCATCTTACTACACCATAGCTCTGGAGTCAGCCAAGTCAGTCAACAGTTGTGCCTTGGTACCCCTTCTCTCAGGCCCTGTCAGCCACCAGTCAACAGCAGTGTGTTGGTATCACCTGGCTGGACAGACAGAACTATGTTGACAGAGCAACCCACTGAAGATTATGTTTGCTCCAAACTCAAGATTTTCTTTTGCAGCACATGTAATGGTCCCCTGCCCATGGCCACATATTATTATGAGGAAATCAAGGGAAGTGTGAAATACAGGGACGTCTTGCAGCAGCCTCTAATTGAACTTATTGAGCCCCTTGTGAGTATCCCTTTTAGAGCAGGAATGGAAGAATCTTACTTCTTCTACCTTTCCCAGCTCACTCTCAGCAGGGGTTCCCTGTTTGTACTCTTGCTTAGACCTCAGCAAAAGCTTTGTTGAATGCAAAGTCAGATGTTTTAAAGGGCATTACAGGATGGAGGTAGGGCTTTTCTGGGACATGCCAACTCTTTCCCAGAATTTGGATTTGAGCCCAGTCCTGCTTGGCATGTGCTTGGTGTCCTGTACCTCTTGTCCTAGCACCAGGACAGTTGCATTAGGAGGATAAGAAGTTAAAGGCCCATTGGAGGCAAAACTTCCAGCTATGAGACCCAGTCTCAGAACCAGAATGGTGTATATACTGTCTGTGGAGCATTACAGATGGACATGATACTTCACACATGAGAAGGTGGCATTTCTGACTCTGTGACCCTTGCCCAGAGACAGGAGTGTGGAGCACTGGTCCTGGAGGATAGTGGGACTAGATTCTGACCATCTGGTGCAGAGCTGGAGGTGGCCAAAGAAAGCAATTTGGGTGAGCTCTGGAGTGGATATGGATTACAAGTAGGAGGGGACAGGTGAAGGGGGATGCAGGCTCTTCAGGAACAAGAGCAGCAGCAGGAGGAAAGAAGAAGGAATGGGCTGGAGAGTCACCAGCCGAGGGCTAAGTGTGGGCTTCCTTGACCAGCCCTCAAACACAAGGATTGGACAAGCGAGATGGAGCTTGAAGATAGCAGAGTGAAAGGTAGGAGCTTTTCGAATTTGGAGTTCAGGTTCTTACTGCTATCCCTGTTCTTGTCTGCCTAGAACTCACCATAGGACCCCCCAGTTTCATTCTCCTGTTTCTGGGGTGTCAGGTATGCCACACTTGGCTGACTCAGTCTTGACAGTGTTCTCTTGTATTCTTGGGGTTGCAGTTGCATTTAGTCCGTGTGTGTGTGTGTGTGTGTGTGTGTGTGTGTGTGTGTGTGTGTGTGATTGTGGTTATGTGTGTGTATGCACATCCACAGGGGGAAGGGACTGTGGAAAGTATAATCAGAACACAAGATCAGTGTTTTTTTCACAGACAAATCTAGTTGTGGCTTTTAATAGAATTCATCCCTGTTCCTGCACACAGTACACACATCCTGTTTGTGTTTAAGTATGATTGCAGCAGCATGTTCCCAGATGCTCAAAGGACACCCAGCCAAGACACACCCACCAGCCTGTACCCTTGTGTTGTGCTGCCAAAGTGTAGACCTCAGAGTTTAGAAATTGGGAGTAATGTCAGAGACAAGAACAATTGATTTCTTTACTTTTTTTTAGTGTTAGTAGCAGGTCTGGGTCGGCACTTTTTCATTAGAATTGCTGTATGTGTTCACCTTGTGAGTGGTCATAATTTCAAATATAATAGATAAGATGTAAGAAGAGCCATAGTGAGTTTCTTCATTTTTTTCTTTACTTGATATGGACTTAACTATTTTACTTTGCATATGTATACATTTTTCCACTAGGTGAGGATTTTTTCTAGATTTTATTTAAATTAGAAACAATCTTATTTTACATATCAGTCCCAGTTCCCGATCCCTCCCCTCCTCCCATGCCCCTCACCAACCTCCCATCTCATCCCCCTTCTGCTCCCCAGGAAGGGTGAGGTCTTCCATGGGGGAATCATCAAAGTCTGTCACATTGTTTGGGGCAGTGCCTAGGCCCTCCCCTGTGTCTAGGCTGAGAAAGTATCCCTCTATGGGGAATGGGCTCCCAAAGTCCATGTGTTCATTAAAAATAAATACTATTCCACTACCAGATGCCCCATAGACTGCCCAGGCCTCCTAACTGACACCCATGATCAGGGGGTCTAGTTCCATCCTATGCTATTTTCCCAGCTGTCTGGGGACCATGAGCTCCCTCCTTGTTCAGGTCAGCTGTTTCTGTGGGTTTCTCCAGCTTGGTCTTGACATCTTTGCTCTTCACTCCTCCCTCTCTACAACTGGATTCCAGAAGTTCAGCTCAGTGCTTAGTTGTAGGTCTCTGCTTCTGCTTCCATTAGCTACTGGAGGAAGGCTCTAGGATGGCAAAGCAGTCATCAGTCTCATTATAGGGGAAGGGCATTTAAGGTAGCCTCTCCACTATTGGTTCTTAGTTGGGGTTATCCTTGTAGATCTCTGGACATTTCCCTAGTACTCTATAAGAAAGCAGGCTGCTCAAGCCATGAGGAGCAAGCCTGTTAATCAGCGCCCCTCCATGGCCTAGGCATCAGCTCCTGCCTCCAAGCTCCTGCCCTGTTTAAGTTTCAACCCATACTTCCTTCCATGATAAATAGTGATATGGAAATGTAAGCCAAATAAACTCATTGTTCCGTAACTTGCTTTTTGGTCATGGAATTTCATCACAGCAATAGAAACCCTATCTAAGAAAAAAAAATTCATTTATATTTGTTTCTGTTTGTAATATGTCTTTTTCCTATGGATATTTTACTCTTTTGTTTTTTGTTATTCCATTTCAGCAGTTTCATTTTGTGTGCATGCTTATGTGCTGTTTTACATATATTTTGCTTTGTGTTAAGACTTTTAGATATGAGTGTCTAGAATTTTCATCAGATTTGAGAAATATTACTTCAATTCTGATTGTACCTACTTTTCTGCAGGATACAGAAGGAACACATACAATTAGTTGATTGAGTAAAAACAGAAATGATTCTTCTTTTTGTAAGCAAACAGAGGTGATCTGACTTCTTAAAACAAAAATCAACACAAAACCGAATCTCTGGGACTCACATCCCCAGAACAGCATTCACTTGCTCTGAATTTTAAATAGGAAAAAGTCACTATCTGTCTCCCAAGATGCCTAAAGCCCCAACCCAGAACTCTTTCTGTAGTTACTTCAGTCTCAACCCAAAATAATGTTTCTATGGCTTGGATGAAAACAATTATAGAAATTGTACATTGTCATTGTATTTACAACAAAGGTATATTCAACTGGTTAATTTAATACTTGGTGATAATGTTTGTATAAATGAATAAAAGTTGCAAAGGAAAATTGTCTACATAATTAGAAGAATGGATGATATGCAACTCTTTACAGTTGCATCTGGTTTTGGAGTTTTAAAGCTGATATCCAGTCTAAGTTAAAAGAAATACATTTTTATAAGAAGTTGTACAATTTATACATTACTGTGTGGTTTATTTGTAAAAAAGTGATAGAGTTCTATATTAGATTCATAACCTAGTCTGATCTTAGTGTGGCAGTTAAGATGCTGAGGTAATGTTACATAAAATAATAGGTTAGTGAGCCTATTAGTACAGGAAGCTTATATACAAATGCTTCAGGGCATAGGACATCTAGCTTAGAATAGTGTATTGTGTAGCACATAGCAAGAAGAGTTTTGAATCGGGAGAAGTAGGATCAATTCTTATTCTAGATATAAGGACTTCAATCTGTTATTTATCAAATTAACTCTATCTGTAGATTCTGTATATAAGTAGGAATAGGTATAACAGGTAAAGAAATATGTATATACATAAATGCAAATGAGAGAAGGGATTTCTGAATATTGTGTTATTTGGTCATACCAGGACTGAGGGAATGATAACCTATAAATATAGTGGTAAGTCATGGCGTTTTAATTATAAATCTCAGTGTAAAACTTGTGGCAAAGATATGTACTACTTCCAAAAAACAGTAGTTAGGCAATTTATTTTAATGGTGTTGGTGTACTCTGTCATAAAGAGCTAATAAACCTGCAGTAAGCACACCAGCATTAAAATTTTAAGGCCAAACTTGACTTTCATTTAGTTAAATCAATGAATGTTCAGTCTTCACTTATGAATACATAAATCAGCAATGACATTTGTGCTTGAGCACAAGTAAGTATTGATAGAGTAAATGATTCACTTCTTATTGTGGGATTGAGAGAAGAAAGATGGCTAATGTTACTCCATAAGAGGTAACATGTGCTTAAGCTCATGAAATGTCACATAGTGCACACTTAGAATTGGGTGCTGAACCTTATCATAAAATTGAGTAGACTGATAGGCTGGGTCAAGCTGGAAAGAACAATGTTCCTACTATGTTTATGTCTGAGGTGGAGACATAGAAGTGGAATTCCTTTTGATATTCAGGATAAGTGCTAGAGTTGTAGATTCCATGAAAAGAGAAACTGATACTATTAGTGGTCATAATGATCCTACAGTGAATAATTTTACTTCATCAGTGTTAGTCAAAGGATTCTACAGGGATCAATGATATTTTGTCTGTCACACACTTGTATAGACTAGTATTTTCATTCACTGGAGGTAAATGTGGGAGCAGATAGGTACATGTACCCAGCATAAAAATGTCAGAGAATAAATAAAAGAAAAAACATAAAAATTATCAATAAAAACAAATTTTTAAGTGCACTATAGTCAACGTATAAGTCCTAAAGTCAAGATCTGACAAACCCTTTAAAAGTTTAAATAGCAGTTAATGTTTCTCAGGACTTGCCATGCAACTAATATGCATTATTCTAACCACATGTGCTAAACTCTTATTAGGAAGCTCCACAACAATCCTGTGAGGTAAGTAAGATCTTCAAATTTTTGTTAAGAAAGAATTTGACATGGATAGGGAAGGACAAGTCCATTATCACCTGCCAGTGACAGAGCCATCTGAATTTGACATGGATAGGGAAGGACAAGTCCATTATCACCTGCCAGTGACTGAGCCAGAATTTAAATCCAGGAGTTACAGTTATACAACATGTTTCACATTGTGTTGTGACATTACAATTTGTATTTGAGCATTGAAAGTGATCTAATGAAAGATAGATTTGTTTGATAAAGCCCAGAGACCCAGTCTGCTCCTAAAAATGGGCTGACCAGACCCACAGAGCCAGGGACGCCATTTCTCAAGAGAGTGTTTTTTTTTTTTTTGAGTGTTTTTTAAAATAAATTTTTGTTTAAATTAAAAACAATCTTATTTTTCATACCAATCCCAGTTCCCTCTCCCTCCTGTCCTCCCATGCTCCCCACCCCCCATTCTAACCCCATCCACTCCCCAGAGAGGGTGAGACCTCCCATGGGGGATCATCAAAGTCTGTCACATTATTTGGGGCAGGGCCTAGGCCCTCCCCCGTGTATCTAGGCTGAGAGAATATTCCTTCATAGGAAATGGGCTCCCAAAGTCATTTTGTGTACTAGGAATAAATACTGGATCCACTGCCAGAGGTCCCATAGACTGCCCAGGCTTCCCAACTAACACCCATGTTCAGGGGGCCTTGCTCAGTCCTAGGCTGGTTCCCCAGCTGTCAGACTGGGGTCCATGAGCTCCCCCTTGCTCAGGTCAGCTCTTTCTGTGGGTTTTCCTAGAATGATCTTGAACACTTTGCTCATCACTCCTCCCTCATTGTAACTGGTTTCCAAGAGTTTGGCCCAGTGCTTGGCTGTGAATCTCTACTGCTGCTTCCATCAGCCACTGGATAAAGGCTCTAGGATGGCATTTAATCTCATCAATCTCATTATCAGAGAAGGACATTTAAGGAGTCCTCTCCACTATTGCTTAGATTGTTAGTTGGGGTCATCCTTGTGGATCTCTGGACATTTCCCTGGTGCCAGATTTCTTTTAAAACCTATAATGGCTCCCTCTATTAAGGTATCTCTTTTCTTGCTCTCCTCTATTCCTCCCCTGTCTCAGTCTTCCTGATCCCTCATGTTCTCCTAACCCCTCCCCTTATCTCCTCCTCTTTCTCCTCCCTGTGCTCCCAATTTGCTCAGGAGATCTTGTCCCTTTCCCCTTCTCTAAGGGACCATGTATGTCTCTCTTAGGGTTCTCCTTGTTTCCTAGCTTCCATGAAAGTGGTTCTTAATGATGATCTAAAACGACTCACAAGTCAGAGAGGTGGCTTCTTGAGCATGGGTGAAGCTAACCCATGGGTTCATAGAAACACTCAAGCACAGACCTTACCCACCAGCACAGATAGGCAACTCAATAAACAAGAAGTGACATGACCCACAGGTCATAAAAGTCGGATTTTTAAATACTGAGCTATCCAGTCATGGATCCAGAAAGGAAGCTTCTTAAACATGTGCTGATGATGGAATCTCTGAGTTTTAACTTAGCATGAAGAATGAGCTGTTCATGTCTTCAACAAAGGGTCAACACCTTCAGAAAGATTCAGTAAAAAGGAGCTGTAGTTACTATTACGGATAACTGTGCAGAGACACAGAAACCATCCCCTGTCACTAACTTTTGTGGCTTTCAGAGTCTGCATTTCTTCCTTCCTTCCTTCCTTCCTTCCTTCCTTCCTTTCTTTCTTACTTTCTCTTTTTTCTCTTTCTCTTTTTATTTTCTTCCTTCCTTCCTTTCTTTCTTTCTTTCTTTCTTTGTTTTTTTTGAGACAGGCTTTCTCTTTTGAGCTTTATAGATGAAGCTGGCTTTGATTGAACTCACAGAGATCTGCCTGCCTCTGCCTCCCTTGTGCCGGGATTAATGGTGTGTGCCATCTCTGCCCAGCCAGCGCCTACATTTCTGTGGGCTTCAGTTATTAAGCTGAAAAGTTGAGCTAGTGACAAATAGCCACTCTTCTACCTTTTAGGTGGTTCAATATGAAAATAAATGTATTATAGCCAGCTCTCCACTTCTGCCTACGTGTCATCATCTCCCTCCACCCTGACCGGCTTAGGGTCCTATTGAACCTATCAGATATATGTCTACCTGATAAAAATTAGTAACCATGGCTGAAGAGTGCAACACCTATTCCAGCTTGGAAGTGAATCCTATTTTTGTTGTTTCTGGAGACAGGGTTTCACTGTGTGGCTTTGTAGACCAGGGTGGCCTCAACCTCACAGAGATCCACCTGCCTCTGCCTCTCAAGTGCTGGGATTAAAGGCATGCACCACTACCACCCATCTTGGAAGTGTATCTTTACCAAAACATTTTTTCCAAAGAAAACCTACCTCCAGGCACACCACATACCATTCACTATCCCTTCTTAAAGTTTATCAGGCTCAGGCCAAGGCATATTGATGAAGGTATAACCCCAGCCCTCTAAGTAGGATGGTGACAGGGACCAGGAGCACTGGGGCTCAGAGAAAGTCCATTTGTCCTACAAGAACAATCCAAGGAAGCTTTCTGAAGGAAGACTGCCTGCTGATAACATTGCAGGGTATGGAGATGAGACTGCCCAGACATGGCAGTCCTGAAGTGCAGGATGTTGCTAGGAGTAGCTAGAGGCAGACTACTGGTGGATGAGGCCCAAAGAGGCTCTTACAAGAAGACCTCAAGCCTGGGAGCCATGGATGGGCAACAAGAGTACTGGAAACCTGGCATTCACTGTGATTGCAGTGTAAGGCAGACCATGCAAATGTATCCAAGAAGCACAAAAAAACTGGCATGTTGGTGCCCAGACTCACTTGATAAGTAACAGATCACTGTTATTGTGCTACCTTATAATAAATAGTTTGACCAGAGGCCCAACGTATAGTGCCAGAGGAAGGTTCAGAATGGACACCTGGTTCTCACCATAAACACCTGGACAGGCAGTTGGGTTATTTTCTAAAGGGTTATCAGAAGGGGAACAGGTTGGGAAGCATTTGGAAGCTGGACTTGGTTTGTAAGTGGGAGGCTCATGGGCCTTGATGGGTGTACAGGGGCACAGTGAGCGCGTGGCAGCTAGAGGGTCGGGTACCTTCTCAGAGTATCTTGCACCTCAGGCCACACGCACAGAGGGAGGTTATGCCCTATTGGTGCTGCCTCTAGGGTAGCACATGGGATTCCCTATAGCACTTTTCATGATGCAGATGTGAGGTAGGCCTCCTGAGACCTGGCAGGACACAGCCTGGGCACCTCTCTTGCTGTTCTGTTCCAGGAGAATTTGTTGAAAACACTTCTGTCAAACCTAGGCCTGGCTTTCCTCTTTTGAGAAGGAAGGTGCCCAAGGCTTCTTGCGGCACTGGTTCCAGGTCAGGAATGTGGAGGTCCCCCAAGGCAGGGACCCATTCCTTCAGGTGCTTCAGCATCAGCTCCCCTTGACCTCTTTCTCTGAAGCCTCCAGGGTTGTGTCTCTTTGCTTACTCGATACGCGCCCTTCACCCATTCAGCTGGGACCCTGTCCCAGGTCATCTCAATTCCCTTTTCTCAGGACCATGAAGTCTGTTCTGAAGCCCCGTCCTCTTCCCTCTGGTCATGCTGGGATTCTTTATGAGACTACTTGTTGGCACAGCCTAGCTATGTCTAGTGCTATACACACCAGAGATGAGTTTCATCACAAGTCCCTCTGTCCTGCAGAGGGGACAGCTCTCAGCATCATCCTCTCCCTTCCCCATTCCTACTCTACTTTGCCTCTCACATCCATTTTCTGACTTCCTCCCTCCACTCCTGTACCCCTAGTTCCTTCCCTCAACCTCCCCACATCTGTTAGCACCTAGAATCAGGCTGGCCTTCTCCTTGGCCTGCCTCATAATGCCCATCCTTTCTGAGTTGCTATGTTGGCTTGCCAGGCCACCCTACCTTACAATGCAATCCTTCCCTCTCGGCTCCTTCTTACACACAAGCTGTTCCATCAGCTACAAAGCCCTTCCCAGAGCACTGAATCTGATTGGCTCCTACTAGACCTTGCAGGTGCAGTTTCATGGCCTCCTTTTCTCTAGAGGACCCCCCTGACTCTAAGACTACACTGTCTCAGGTTCTCCTCTTAAAAGAGCATGCTTGAGACTCCTCTTTGGGATCTACCTGCAGCTTAGGTCAAGCAAGGGGGATATCTCAAGAAGAATAAGATGAATGATGGAGGTCAGCTCATCTTTGAGGCTAGGCAATGTTCCTGTGGTGGTGGTGGTGGTGGTCCCTGATACGGTGGCCCCAACCGCTTGATCCCTAGTGGCATTCAGTGACTTCATGGGGAGCAAGCTCTGATCTAGGATATATTGGGCCTTGCTTTGAATTCCCATAGAGCTACGAGGAGGACCGGATTTGCAAACTTCTTCAGCTTCTTCCAGATTCTTCCCTCACTTCTATAACCCCTGGTTTGGGCCTTCATAGGGAGGGAAAGGACCAGGACATTTTGTGTGTAATATTCACCAGGCCTGAGGAGGCTTGCTGATACCCCATCCCCATTTTCTGACCCAGGACCATTTTGTAAAATCACCAGTGTTGGCCAGCATTCTGTATGATAGTCCTCAGCTCTTACTCTTGGACCTGGCATGTTTGTCCCAAGACTTAGATTAGTCCATTCACCCACTGAGCTAGTGGGGTCTTGCAAACTACTGCATCCACAGCACCTCCAGGGTAGTAAATATTAATATACTACTATCAGGTTTACAGTTAGGTCATGGGTTCAAGGTTCCTTGGGATCGAGTTTACATACCAGTGCCTGGACCATAAAGATTCAATTAACACGCAAGGAAATACACATTGAGCAAAGGCCTCATCAGAGACACCTTACACACTCTAGAATTAACTGGCTCTGTCCATCTCTGGGAAATGGGCAGAAAACATTCATCAGCTGGGATCCAGGAGGCCAGAAGCTTTGAGGAGTATGGGTGAGAACTTCAAGACCAGTGTCAGAAGCATCAAAGGGGGCCTCTTTTAAGATTTAAAAGCTGGGTATGCCATGGATGACTGAGATGAGGTGAGGGTAGGAAGCTGCATGCTGAATCATGACCAGCTAGGAAAGTCCTCCTTGTGGAAGGAGACCAGGAAGCTCCTCCCCCATTCACATGTTTGTGTCCTCGCATGTGCCTATCATAGCCATGGAATGGTGGGAAGCAGCTAACCTAAAAATGCTCTGTGTGAGGCTAGGGTTTTTTGTTTTGTTTTGTTTTGTTTTTGCCAACAAGATTGAGTTTATCTCCTAATTTGAAACCCTGTATTTGAACTCGTTTCTTCTCTAATGCTTTTTAATTTTTGATGGCTTTCTTTATCTCCCTGTATCAAAGTCAATGTCATTCTTCTTTCCAATCCTACTTTTTTTGGACCATAGATAGTACTTTGTGAATCACACATGTGGCATAACATTTACTTCTATACATATGTGGTTGGTCACATATGTTTATATTCATCTGAAGTGAACAAAACTAGCTCCATGTGGTCAGGTGCTTGCAAACTATTGCCTCCAAGCATTGAGGAATCAGGGTTTGGGAGTATGTTTTTCTTCTCAAACAGTGATAAGTATAAGAGTTCCTAGCCTTCTTAGTGTTAGGAACTCTTCCTTCCTGGAGGATTTCCTGTTTTTCCGGACTGCATAACACCCCGTACTCCCTCATTGCCCATCCATAGCCATTGGCTTTCCCAATCTCCATTCCTCTTCTCTCTCTTTCACTTCCTCACATTTCTGGAGTATACGACTGATTTTGAATCTGATTCACTGTCCAGCTTTCCAGGGACTGTCTCTTTTATCTGTTCTTAACTGAGATAACATGTGGAGCTTATCACTTCTTTACTTGTCCTTTCTATCTTACTGTCTAGTTAATAGGTTAACTCTTGGGCTGAGAGGATATATGACTCTCTGTTTTCCACCAACATTCTCTATGTACAAAACCTAGTTCTTACCTTCCTCTGGTCCACTTTCAGGGTTTCCTTCCTTTGTTGCTCCACATTGAGGGAGAGCTTCATTGGGTATTTCCTTCACTGCAGTTTTCTCAGATAAGTTCTGTTAAAAACAAGCCACAGTAAAGCATCTCATCAGAGCTGGGGAGCTGGCTCAGTGGTAAGCCTACTTGCTCTAACAGGCATGAGCACTCAAAATTGGATGTCTACCACCCATGGAGAAATTCGGGTGTGGCTTCGAATGTGTCTGGAAGACTTCATTGGAGACCATGAGGCACATATAAGGATCACTGGAGCCTGGCAGCTGTGAACTTCACTTTGTCCAGTGAGAGACCTTGAGATAGAATGGGACACCAACTGTTCTTCTCCATTCTGTGCATGTGCAACATGGTCAAGCACATTCACACATAAACACAACCCCCCCCCACACACACACACACACACACTCACACACACACACACACACAGTTTTATAATTTCTACTTTGCTGTTTACAGATATATAAAGTGGGAAATTACCAATACGGAGTCAGGTAGAAATACAAGGGTATTTAATAGGGAAAAGCCTTACTTACAGAGTGACCGAGCCAGCAGGTGGGCAGCAGTCTGTACGGCAAGCCAAACAGTGAAACCGAAAGTGAAACCCAGCCACCTGAAACTCTCACTCTGCATCACCCTGACCACGCCCTTGCAGGCATGGTCAGACACACCTATAGCCAGCCCCTAACTAGGCGTGGCTACAGCTTCCCCTCCAGATATCTATGAATGTTTTGTTTTGAGTGAGGATTGGAAGGGGTGCTATGAAATGCTGTTTCCTGAACATCACATGGCTGTAATTATGGAGTCACAGCAGCTATGATTTACCTGCAGGAGACCTATAGATAGGATAGATGATCTCTGGGCTCCACCACACACCAAGGAGTTACTGACAATGGATATTTGCCAAGGCATGGGGCAACAATTGTTCCTTGAGGATATGGCCACTATTAGGTTTTTCCATGCTCCAATATATGTTCCCCAACTGATGCACATATGAAAAGCAGTAGACTTAGCAGTTTATGACCCCCCAAAAGAAGACATTGTGTTGGTATGGGTATGATGGAGTGTATAAAGAAGCAGACAACAAAAATTATGGATATTCTTACAAATCAAAATAAACTATGAAACACTTTGTGTGTATTTGCTGTAATATTTGCACATGTACATGTGTGTGTGTATGCATGCCCATGTGTGCATGTAGACACTGGATTAGAACAAAAAGTAGGTACTTGATACTGAACTTGGCTACTATTATGGTATTGGTTGGTGTGGTGGTTTAAATGAGAATGGTTCCTATAGGCTCATAGATTTGAATGCTGGGTTCTCAGTGGAACTGTTTGGGAAGGATTAGGAGGTATGATCTTGTTGGAGTAAGGGTGACCTTATTGGAGGACGTGTGGACTTTGAGATTTCTAAAGCCCATCCCATGCCCAGTCTCTCTCTTTTTTTCTCTGCCTGCTACCTGAGCATCAGGATATAAAGCTCTTGGCTACTGCTCCAGCACTATGTCTGCTTCTCAGCAATAGAACAATATTGAAGACAGTTGCTTTTTTGTTAACTTGACACAAACCAGAGTCTTTTGGTATTAAGGACCCTCAACTGAGAAAATAATGTCCTAGAGGCAAGTCTGTTTAATATTTTCTTTATTAATTTATTGATTTGGAAGGGCCCAATTTATGGGGGGTGGTGTCAACCCTGGGCAGGTGGTCTTGGGATGTATAAGGAAGCAGACTGAGCAAGCTGAGTTACAAGTCATTAAGCAGTGTCTCTTCATAGCTTTTACTTCAGTTCTGGCCCTTAACTTCTTTCCCTGTTTAAGTTTCTGCCCTGACTTCCTCAATGATCACCTCATATCTGGAAATGTAAAATAAAACAAACTCTTTTTCCAAGTTACTCTTTGTCATGGTGTTTTATGAAAGCATTAGGAATCCTATCTAAGACATTTATTCATTTATGACTACAAGATAGATGAAAACTGTATTACTTTAGTAATATGGCATTAATAGTCACTTAGAGCTTGTGGCCTTTCCACCCATGGGTTCTTTGATAGTTTTACATCTATGAAGCATGAATTCCTTTTAGCCCACCAGGCTTTGGGTCCAATTAGACAGCTATTGGTTGTCTCCAAGATATAAATGCCACCAGTCCTGTAATTGTGTTTCTGACTCTTACAGCTGGGTGGGACAGTTGATAACTTTTCTCCTTTGGCAGTTTGCATAGCATCTGCACATCCAAGAACTCAGACAGCATAAATTGGACGTGATAGCTAAAAACAGAGGACACAAAGTTTGGCGAGATGGAGGTGGATCTGGAAGGACTTAGGGGAAGGGTGAATTCAATCAAAACACACTGTACAAAATTTTCAAAAAAAACTATCTTAAAATTATAATATTAAAAACAGCGGACAAAAATGGTGATAAGAATGTATAGGGTGAGGTTCTCTCATTTGCTGCTGGTGGGCTTGCAGACTGGCACAGCCACTGTGGAAATCAGCCTTGAGAATTAGCAAAAAAGCTACATTACACCTTGACACATACCCAAAGGACTTCATATCCTATTTCACAGATACTTGCTCAGCTATGCTCATTGACACTCTATTCACAAAGTTAGAAAATGTAAACAACCTAGATGCCCTTCAGTTGATAAATGGATGATGAAATTGTGATTATATATATATATATATATATATGTGTGTGTGTGTGTGTGTGTGTGTGTGTGTGTGTGTGTGCGTGTGTGTATTTGAATTTCATTTGGCTATAAAGAAAAATAAAGTGATGAAATTTGCAGCCAAATGGATGGAAATAGAGAATACTGTACTGAGATAACCTGGGTTCACAATACCAAATGTCAAATATTCTTTGTCATTTGTGGATCATAGCTCTGATGATGAGAGTATGTAACTGTTAGAAACCAGTAGAGTGCTCCTCCAACAATCTTGACCCCTACCAAGGTGTGTGTACCCTCTGTTCTTGCCCTACTCCTGCCCAAAGTCCCATTCACCCCATCTCTCTGGGCCTGTGCCTGCTTAGAGTGGACCCGCCCAACCAGGGAGGAGCTCCATGAGTCTGGAAACACCTCATGTTTACTTCCCCCTCGGCTGGCCTAACCCCTACCGAGGCCCGACCCCTACCGAGTGAGGAGACTACCAGGAGAGGCAAGACCATCCAGAGCTACAGACATTGATGTCTTGGCGCACACACAGCACTGGGTGATAAGAGGAGATAGAGAGACCCCACATGCACCCACTGGAAGAATGGATTGGAAGAAGACAGAATAAGAACACACTCAACATCAGAAAGAACAATATGACACCACCAGAATCTAGAGACTCCACACCAGCAAGATCTGAAAAGCCCAACACAGAGGATGAAGAAGAGATGGACCTCAACAATTATCTTAGGAAGATGATAGAGACCTTTAAAGAGGAAACAAGAAAATCCCTTAAAGAAATAGAAGAAAAAACAAGCAAAAAATTACATGAAATGGAGGAAAAGACAAACCAAAAAAATTCAAGAAATAAACAAATCTCTTAAAGAATCTAAAGAAAGCCAAGAAAAAACAACCAAAAAAGTGAAGGAAGCACTCAAAACTGTTCAAGGCATGAAAGCTGAAATAGACACACTACAGAAAACACAAAATGATGGGATTCTGGAAAGAGAAAGGCTGGATAAATGATCAGGAACTAAAGATGTGAGTATAACCAATAGTATTCAAGAGATGGAAGAGAGAATCTCAGTTGTTGAAGACTTGCTAGAGGATATACAGTCATCGACCAAAGAAAATCTCAAGTCCAACAAATCCCTAACACAAAATATCCAGGAAATATGGAACACCGTGAAAAGGCTGAATCTAAGAATAATAGGTATAGAAGAAGGCGAAGAAATACATCTCAAAAGTACAGAAAACATATTCAACAAAATCATAGAAGAAAATTTCCCCAACCTACAGAAGGATATGCCTATGAAAGTACAAGAAGCTTACAGAACACTAAACAGACTGACCACAAAAAGAAGTCCCCTCAACACATAATAATCAAAACACAAAACATACAGAATAAAGAGAAAATATTAAGAGCAGCAAAGGAAAAGGGCCAAATAACATATAAAGGCAGACCTATCACAATCATATCCGACTTCTCAATGGAAACCTTGAAATCCAGAAGGTCCTGGATAGATATCCTACAAACACTAAGGGAGCATGGATGCCAACCCAGACTACTTCACCCAGCAAAACTTTCAATCACTATAGAACAATACATATCCACAAATCCAACACTACAGAAAGTTCTGGAAGGAAAACTCTAACCCAACAAAGATAACTATACTCACAAAAACATAGGAAATAGATAAGCCAATTTTACCAAATATGAAAAGAAATAGGAGGGCGAAATCCACACACAATGACACCACCAACAATAAATACAAAACAAACAAGAACCAACAGTCAATTGAAATTAATATCCTTCAATGTCAATGGTTTTAACCTGCCCATAAAAAGATACAGGCTAACAGAATGGATACAAAGACAGAATCACAGAATCCATCCCTCTGCTGTATACAAGAAACACACCTCAACTTCAAAGACAGGCATTACCTCAGAGTAAAGAGTTGGGAAAAGATTTTCCAATCAAATGGGCCCAAGAAACAAGCTGGTGTAGCAATCCTAATATCTAACAAATTAGACTTCAAACTAAAATCAATCAAAAGAAATGAAGGGCATTTCATACTCATCACAGGAAAAGTCCATCAAGATGAAGTCTCAATCCTGAACATCTATGCCCCAAATATGAAGGCACCCACATTCGTAAAAGAAACATTACTTGCTCAAACCACACATAAAACCACACACACTTATAGTAGGGGACTTCAATACCCTGCTTTCACCACTAGACAGGACCACCAGACAGAAATTTAACAAAGAAACAAAGGATCTAACAGAAGTTATGACCCAACTGG